CTCCACTTGAGGCAGAACCTCACCCTCGCCCTGAAGAGAGCAATCCATCCTCATCCGACTGAGGACCATGGTCTCAGATATGGAGTTGCTGATTCTCATTCTAGCCGCTTCACACTCAGCTATGAACTGCTCCAGTGAGAGCTAGAGATCACGGCACAGTGACGCCAACAGGGCCACATCATCTGCAAATAGCAGAGATGGAATCCTGAGGTCGCCAAACCAGACTCCCTCCGCCCCCTGGTTGCACCGAGAAATTCTGTCCATAAAAGTTATGAACAGAATCGGTGACAACGGGCAGCCCTGGCGAAGTCCAACTCCCATCCTGAAGGGGTCCGACTTTCTGCCAGCAATGCGAACCAAGCTCTTGCACCGCTTGTATAGGGACTGAACTGCCTGTAGCAACGGGCCCCCAATCCCATACTCACGGAGCACCCCCCACAGTGTACCTCAAGGAACACGGTTGAATGTCTTCTTCAATTCCACAAAACACAAGTAGACAGGATGGGCAAACTCCCATGACCCCTCGGGGACCCTAGTGAGGGTAAAGAGCTGATCCAGTGTTCCATGACCAGGACGGAACCCACACTGTTCCTCCTGGATCTGAGGTTCGACCAATAATCAGACTCGCTTCTCCAGTACCTCTGAATAGACCTTACCAGGGAGACTGAGGAGAGTGATGCCCTTATAATTGGAGCACACCCTCCAGTCCCCCTTTTTGAAGAGGGGAACCACCACCCCAGTCTGCCAATCCAGTGGCCCTTCCCCCGATGTCCACGCGATGTTGCAAAGGCGTGTCAACCAAGACAGCCCCACAACATCCAGAGCCTTAAGGAAATCAGGGTGAATCTCATCCACTACCAGAGCCCTGCAGCCTCTGAGCTTTTTAATTACCTCGGTGACCTCAGCCACAGTTATGGATGGATCAAAGATGAAGCTGAATTAAGTGCAGTGCGAGTTCAGCAGTCTGACAGCTGCAGGGAAGAAACTGTTTCTGAGCCTGGTGGTCTTGCTCTAAATGCTCCTCAGCCACATGCTTAATGGGAGAGGCTAGAGCAGACTGTTTGCAGGATGAGGGTCCTTCATGATGTGGAGCACCCTCCCCCTGTATCATGAAGTGTAGAGGTGGTGGGAAGGCTGCTTCCCACGTCCCCAGTCTTCTGTGCAGCCTTAACCACCCTCTGCAGAGCCATCCTCTCAGCAGCAGTGCAGCTGCCGTGCCACACGGTGATGCAGGTGCAGAGAACACTCTCCATCACACAGCGATAAAAGCTCCTCAGAACAAAGCTCCCAAGTCCAGCTCTCCGCAGCTTCCTGAGGAAGTAGGGATGCTGGTGGGCCTTCTTGACCAGACAGGAAGTGTTGGCTCTCCAGGTGAGTTCACTGGATATATGCACCCCCAGGTACCTGTCATGACCAGCCTCTCGAAGCACTTGATGACTATCAATGTTAAGGCTATAGATTGGTAGTCATTCAGGTCTGTCACTGTGGAGCACTTGGGGAAAGGGACAATAGTGGCAGACTTTAAGCAGTTGGGGACAAATGCCATTGACAGTGAGGGGTTGAAGATGTCCATCATCACCTCAGACAGCTGGTGTGCACAGTCCTTCAGTACCCACCCTGGGATGTTGCCAGGGCCTGCAGCCTTATAGGGGTTGATTCCCTGGAGGGTCTTCCTCACATTTTCTGTGGTCACACAGAGGGGCATGTCACCAGGTGGTGGTATAAGACTGGTGCTGGGGGGTGGGAGGGTGTTAGGATCCTCAAAGCAAACATAGAACTTATTGAATGCATCTGGTAATGAGGGGTCCCTTGGGCATTGTGCATCCCTGATATTGTAGTTCGTAATGCACTTGATGCCCTTCCACATGTACTGGGGGTTGTTGGTGATGAAGTGACCCTGAATTATCTGGACGTATGTGGCTTTGGCCCTTGCAATACCTGCAGTCAGTCTTTTCCTCACCTCTCGGAGTGCTGATGCCTCACCTGTCCTGAACGCAGCAGTAGAGCTCTCAACTCAGCATTCAGCCAGGGTTTCTGATTCAATAACAGGTTACTGTCCTGGTGATGACATCATTTGGAGATGAAACCAAGAACAGAGGAGTATTCCTCCAGGTCCACCTCTCCCTCACATGTATCCACCTCTCTGAAGACCTGCCAATCTGTGCACTGAAAACAGTCCTGGAGCACAGACGCCCACCTGGAGCTAAAAGTAGCAAAATGTTGGTTAAAAGCAAGAAGTAACAAAAATCTAAAAACAGCAAAAGGCATGCTTAACGTAGCTGAACGGTGGCAAAACAAAAATCTCAGACATCTATGTAAAAGTAGCAGAACGTTAGCTAAATTAACAAAATGAGTGTTAAAAACGCGCAGCACAGTGACACAACTGGTAGAGCTGCTGCCTCTCAGCGAGCTGGTCCCCGGTTCAAATCCTGGTCTGGGGGCCTTTCTGAGTCGAGTTTGCATGTTCTCTTCGTGCATGCATGGGTTTTCTCCGGGTACTCTGGTTTCCTCCCACAGATCCAAAATGCATGATTGGTAACTCTAAATTGTCACTAGGTGTGAGTGAGAAAGTGAAAGGTTGTGTGTCTCATTTGTCTCATATGTGTCCCTGTGATGGACTTGTGACCTGTCCCGGTTGTACACCGCCCCTCGCACAATGATTGCTGGACATGGGCACTGGCGACCCCCGTGACCCAAAAATGGAAGAAGCGGGTAAAAGATGATGGATTGTATGGATGCTAAAAGCCTAATGTATATAATGATATAGGTAAAATAATCAGAAGGATGACCAGAAGATAAAAACAGAAAAATGTTGGTTGAAAGCTAAAAGTAGCTAAAGGTTACAGGCTAAATGTAGCAGAACAGTACCTAAAAGCTAAATCTAGCAAAAGATTATAACTGATAATACTAAAACTGGCAAAACAGCAGGATAATGCTAAGGTTGTCAAAAGATAGTTATATGTCAAAAGTCGCAAAAGGCTAAATAAATACTAAAACTAATAGAATGGCAGCTAAAGGTGGCTTTGGAAAACCAAAACAAAAGAAGTACCCTTGCTGAAGCAGATTTCAAACTGAATGAATTGAACAGATCTCTCAATTTCTAAGGAGAGATATTTGTAAATAAAGGCAAATTATTCAAAAAAGTCTAAAAGTTATAATAAAATGTCACGGTGCTCATCTCTTGAATGGACTGAACATTTTGATGTTGCATGGCTAGATACCACAAAGTATGCAAGTGCAAAAATTATGAAGAAATATAAAACAGGAAAATAATAGTGTGGATGTTTATTCAGTATTCACCTATAGATATTTTATTTTGTAACTTTAGGCAATCAAATATTTAGTCATACCATATGAGAAATATGTCACTTTTATTGTTTAATAATCTAAAAGCAATTTAAACAATCAAATTTGTTTCCTCCCAAAACATATATATATATATATATATATATGTAAGTCTACATAGGCTATTAAGATTAAAATAATAGTTTCTAAAAAGAAAACTTTAGAGGTATAAACTACTAAAGAGTGTGATACGCTTGACAACATCTGCCACAACAAATGCTTGTGGGATTCCAGTGTTTTCTCCTGCAGCTTCCTGAGGGGCAGGGCGGCACCAGCTGTGGCCAATAATGAGCACCAGGAGTATAAAGGACTGCTGAAGTGTTCTCTTCTCTGCTGGAACAATGAATACCAACCAGTTTATGTGACAGCCTTTTAGTGACTCATGATTGTAAACATGCCAGTTTTTCCTCTGTGTTCTCTTAATCCTGGTTCCTGATCAGACTACCCTGGACACACCTGTTTGTCTCTGTGCCTTCAAGTTGAAAAGGATCCTGGAACCCCTGGGGCCACTCACCTTCAGCTTGTGTCCGCCCTGCTGTTTGTCTGCCAATCTGCCTTAAATTACCACAGTACCCGTTCACCTACCTGTTCCATCACTACCATCTCTGCTACCATACTTAACCAGGAACCCTTCGCCATCTCTGCACTGACAGACCAACAAGGAACCTGTAAGATGAATAACTAGTCTACAAACAATAACTACTGGAAACCATACTTGTCCATCTCCATACTTTTCAGATCCTCCTTGTGTCTCCTGTTCTAACATCACTGTAAATATCTTTTTTCTAACCTAGTGGTTTGATTTGGTTTCTATTAATTCCTCTTCTTTGGGTGTTTATTACTGTGATTATGTTAATGCTGATGTTACAGTACAGGCAAAACATCCATTTCCTACAATTTTGTCCAAATTGATACAATGACAAAAAGAAAAATCTACTTTGTATACTCTTCAGTTCAATGACGTCATTGCATTTTAATGATTTGGGAGGGGTTTGGAGCAATACTTAAACATTCAACATTGCCATTTATGTTCCAAAAAAGGAGGGAGTGGGGGTGCATAGGTTAGAGAAGGTGGGCCTGTCATCAGAAGATTACTGGTTCAACTCCCAGTACAGAAAACATCAAAATGTGGGTGAAAATAGTGAAGCACCCACACTTGTCTCCACCCTCATTTGCCCCACTCTGGGTCCTTGAGCACCCTGGGCACCCTAGATAGCAGCTCTCTACTCCACACAGAGGGCTGTGGTGGCTCAGTGCTCTGTGGTTGTGTCAGGAAGGGCATTTGGCGTAAAAACAATCTTCAAGTCTTCGTGCGACCCTGTGGTGACCCCTGAAGAAGGGAGCAGCCAAAAAAAGAAAATAAACAAATAAATATGGTCCAAAAAGAGCAATAAGAACTGTTCAGAAGGCTGGGTTGTACACATCCACTGTTCTAACTCACCAATATTAAATATCACCAATCTAGATCCTTTTCATACTGGAAAATTTAGTACAAACACCTTCTGACAGCACTGCCATTTTTGGTTAGCTTAGGCATAACCAGAACCGAACACTGAAGGACCAGGAGACAATATTAAACAGGTGAGTTTATTACAAAACTTATGCAAAATAGTGGACCAGGAGATCTGCAAAGAGGGACGACAGGCGAGTATAACTTCTTGAAAGGTTGATTTGATCATTATCACATAATGAGAGATGATCCTTCCTTAGATTCCCAGGAATGGGAAGGCAGATGTAGAGTCTGAGTAATTGTTGGTCTAACAGGTCTTGTGTTCAGAGTTGTCAAAGAGATCCAGGAGTCAGGCCAAGGAACCAGGAAACACATCAGCACAAGGGAAACAGGAGCAAGGGTAATAACTGAAATATTACAATAATTCAGTGGTTGGCTGCTTAGTCACAATTGCGACTTAACGTTCCAACAGTGAACTGGAGTAAGCCATGACTTAAAAAGGCTAGGACTGATGAGCTGATGAGGATCACCTGTTCCTCTTCCGGGCAATACCTGTAATTTGGAAAATGTCCAGCAGACTGAGTTCATACCACAGATACTACCAAATATAAAACTTTTTTTGTGATTAAATATTGAAACTTAAATTCTGGTTTTCAAGCAACATTAAAATCTTTTTGAATCTTTGTATGTTGAGTGAAGCTGTGTAACAAACTGACTCGTAAACTGAAATCCAAGCAGAATTTCACAGAGACACACAAACTGCGCATGTCTTTGTATAAGTCTCCATAATATGACAGCACTGTGTTCATACGTAAATATGTGTACATGTGCAAAAATGTGTCAATAACTGAAACTATGTGTATTCTTTGACTTGTCTCTAGGTTATATAACCAAAAAGTCATAAGGAGTAATTGTAAAGACTGAAGGTACAATAAAACGAGAAGTAAACACAATTAGTTTCTAAATGATAAAGTATAGGTGTAAAGCTTATTGTTTCTTTCTACTCATTTTTGAAAATGTTAATTATGTATTGACTGTTATTTTTATATATTTATTGTTGTTCACTTGGAACATGCTAAATCAAATCTTAAATCAACCAATCAAAAATATAGGCTACATACATACATTGAACAAATTAATAGACTAGTCCATTAATAAAAAGTTGGATTTTATGTTGTATTAAATGTTGTATCATATTAAATTATAAAATTTAGAATTAAGGTAGACTCAGCGGAACTATCGTTTAACCGACCCTAAATCCGACGGTAGACATTAGTGAAGGACCACGTTGTCCTTCCGTTATTTTCGTCCGGACCTGTCATACGTGATCAGACTACCGGTAAAGGGGAGAGGGCCTCTTCAGACTGCAATGCAACTCAAAGCCGGTACTTTTTAGTTTCATACGGACAAACTCGAACTGTTCAGGGATGCACTCCCAGTTACTGCGCGGTGGCGCAGCGGCCGCTGTCGCTGCTCGAAGAGTCCGGATCATCATGGGTTCAGTTCTGGGACGAGACGGCTGGATGTGGAGGACGCATGAGGTCAAACTTCTCTGCACGTCCGCAGGTATTCTCTCAGCTTTAGTTGTTTAGTTCAACAACAGGTTCAACAGACGGAGGACCCAGCTTTGCAGGGTTCCCAGCAACTCTGGAAATCAGAGAAAACCTGGAAACTGACTTTCACATTTTACAGACAGGGAAAACTCAAGGAAACTGAGACTATGCGAAAACTCAGGGAATTTGAATTTGAACTTCTGATTAAAAGATGCTCTTTCTGAGATTTTAACGTGTAAATGATAGTATTCAATTATCAATGGACTCAATTATCATTGAGTCCATTCTGCATCTACAAAGTACAGGATCTTTGCTGATTGGTGGCTTTTTAGCATCAGATAATTAATTAGGCTTAGGCTACAGTAAAGTTACAGTCATCTCTGAAAACCCAATAAGTACAAGTATGTACTTAATGGTATATACTTGTACATAAAGGCCTGTTTGAGAAGCAAATTGACTAAACCTGAACCACAGTAAGTTAATGTAACTTGTACTCTATGGTTAAATCATGTAAACAGTTAAAGTGCTTTTCTGTTAAAAATGTTTTATTAATTAATGCACATTGGATCCAGTCCTTCCAGTTATTATTAGTTAGTTATTAGTTATTAGTTAGTTATTAATAATTGGCAGCATGACGGCTCAGTGGTTAGCACTGTTGCCTCACAGCAGGAAGGTCCTGGGTTCAATTCCCAGTTGGACCTGTGGTCTTTATGTGGAGTTTGCATGTTCTTCTTGTGCTTGTGTGGGTTTTCTCCAGGTGTTCCGGCTTCCTCCTACAGATCAAAAACATGCATGTTAGGCTGCCTTCAGGCCCAGGCCTCCCTTGCAAAAGAGATCTGTGATCTTAGTGAGATTTTCCTGGTTAAATAAAAGTTCATGAATTAGTAGTCCAGCTCAACTACATTGGATCATGTCTTGAAAGAGTACCACAAAGCATTAAGTGCTCTCCAGCTGACATATTGAACGTCTCAGTGTTTACTGGACAATATCCAATGTTTGTATGCTATTACTAATAGTAATAGCATACAAACATTGTAAATCTTCTTTTCTTCTTCTTTTGGCTGCTCCCTGCGTTAGGGGTCGCCACAGTGAACTAAGTCGCACGAAGACTTGGCAGTTATTTTTACGCTGGATGCTCTTCCTGACGCAAACACAGACCACCGAGCTACCACAGCCCTCTGTGTGGAGCAGAGAGCTGCTATCTAGGACTCCCGGAGGAGCAGATGGTGGGGGTTAAGGGCCTTGCGCTAGGGCCCAGAGTGGGACAAATGAGAGTGGGGGCAGGTGTGATTGTAAATAATTACAGTAATTTACTATAATTATAATTTCATAATAATGATGTGGAGATGATGATTATTGGGGGAGAAGCGGTCAGTTATAATAAACAACACCAATTTGTAACCCCATTCATAACTCATAAAGTTCCATCCATCCATTATCTTTACCCTCTTCTTCCGTTATGGGTCGTGGGGGTCACTGGTGCCCATACCCAGCAATCACTGTGGGAGAGGCAGGGGACACCCTGGACAGGTCTACAGTCCATCACAGGGACACATAGAGACAAACGAGACAAACAACCATTCACTCTCTCACTCACACTTAGAGACAATTTAGAGTTACCAATCATGCATTTTGGATCTGTGGGAGGAAACCAGAGTACCTGGAGAAAATCCATGAATGCACAAAGAGAACATGTAAACTCCACACAGAAAGGTCCCGGGCCAAGATTTGAACCGGGGCGACCTGCTTCCTGAGAGGCGGCAGCTCTACCAGCTGCACCACCGTGCTGCCCTAACTTGTAACATTCTAAAGTTAAATCACTGACCGCTACAATAAATCATTTGCTCGCCAACTAAGATGCTACGCTCTAAACGTTTCATGAGACTGAAATATCTCCTGGAATTTCAAGATTTACTGAGGGGAAAAATCAGGGGAATCCAGGACCATTACTAGTTATTTAATAAATAAATATCTAATTATTAACTGCTCATTATTAACTGAATATCAACCGATTATTCCAATCTCTAAAAAACCCACTTTTAAACATTTATTACAGAGCATTTGCTGAAAATTTCATAACATTCTCTAACAATATAAAGAAACTGGGCTAATTTCAGTGATCATTTTTCAATTTTTCCACATCATTGAATAGAAATTCACTACATAATTTCAGAATGCACCAGTGACCTCCATGACCTGGAAAGGAAGAAGTGGGTAAAGATATTGGATTGACTCTTATAGCTCTCCTATACCAGTTTATCTACTTCATCTCCAAATGTAGAATGAATGACGCCTGCATCTGAACATAAAGTGAAACCACAGCCCTGTTTTTTTGTGATACAAAAGCACTTTTTGTTTGTTCACCTACACTTGGTTTGGTTCTAAAAGGTTATTTCTACTAATCAGAAAACTATTGTTTGTAAAGTTTGTTGTTTTTTATCCCAGCAGACAGTTTGATCTGGCTCAGGAAAAGTCAGTGGAACTCTAGTAAAATAATTTCTATTCTTGGTACTTTTTTCTGTCCTGTTGCAACTTCTCAGTATTTTCTACCCAGATGAAAATGACCTCACATACATGTGGTCTTTTTCACAATAAACACTGCTTAGTTTTTGTATGAAGTGGATAAAAATACATTTTAGAAACTTTTTGTGAACAATGACTTCAGAAAAGTTTTGTTTCCAAATTATTTTTTTTAAATACGTCTTTAGATAGTTTTCCAGATAGACACCTGTAGAACATTAGTGTATCAATAGTTTTTCAACCTTTTTCCTTTTTGTAGGCGACACGGTGAACATTGGTGAGATCACTTATGTACTCAAAACACCACAGAACCCAGAATTTGTTCCTCTCAAATACCGTAAGTATTACATTTTCAGAATCCTTCATCATTTAGTGATGCCTGATGTATACTGGTGTAATAAGATTTTTCTTGTCTGGGGTTTCTAGTTTCAGACTCGCTGCCACAAACTGTGATTCAACACCTTCGATGGATCATGCAGAAAGACCTTTTAGGCCAAGATGTGTTTCTCATTGGACCCCCAGGACCCCTGAGACGATCCATAGCGATGCAGTACATTGTGAGTTCTGACATTTCACATACACACAGAAGTGATCAAAATACTTCATTAGATATGATGTGAATGAAACTGTTTGCTGGTGATAATAAATAAAATACACAACTTGCACTAATCTCTTTGTTCGCAACTCACCTAAAATTAAAATGTTAGAGTTGCACTTAAAAATGTAAATATTATTTATAATAATGATAATAATCCTTTTAATATATTTTTTGCCAGTTTACACATCCATCCATAATCTGCTGCTTGTCCTTACTTAGTTGGGGTGACATTGGAGCCCATGTAAAGCCAAGCCATCTCACCTGGACAACAGAGCAATACACACCAATGCTTAGCACACAACTACATATTAAACACAGGGCGTGCACACATGTGAGAGCAGCCTGGTGCTGCCATGTGAATGGAGGACAGCAGAGCTGGTTCGTGGAAGGCTCACCGTCATTGTTACCTCCTGAGCTACCGTATTTTCACTGTATAAGTTGCACCTTCCACCAGCAGTCACATGCCGACGTGTCCCTGGGCAAGACACTGAACCTCTTGTTGCCTCCGATGTGTGCCCCATCGGTGTATGAATGTGATGAAGCTCTGATTAGTCTCTTTAGAATGATTTGTTCAATTAGCTTTGTAGAGATCTAGTAGAGTGCTGCATGAATGGGTAAATGAGGGCACAGATTGTGTTGTAAAGCACTATCTCAATAAGATAGAAAGGCGCCATATAAGTACAGTCCATTTACCTTTTTGCATAAATTATCATGCCCTGCGACTTATACAGTGAAGCGACATATTTATGTTTTTTCCCATATTTATAACCAATTTTTGGCTGAGATCTGATGATTTCATTCATTCCGACATGGAAAATATTGAACATGACCATTTTCAGCCACTAGAGGGCTCTCGACTAGTATACCATACCATACCATACCATACCAATTTATTTATATAGCACTTAAAACAGCAACAAGGCCAACCAAAGTGCTGTACAAAAGAACCAAACATGCACAGCAGACAGGAAAACATAAAATAGAAATACAGATACAAATAGCAGCAGAAGCTAACTAAAATGGCCAACAGAGTAGAGAACAGACCGGACCAAAACAAATCACACCGTGTTAAAGGCAAGCGAATAGAAGTGGGTCTTCAAGCGAGACTTAAAGACTGAGAGTGTGGGAGCCTGCCGGACACTCAGTGGCAACTCATTCCACAGTCGTGGACCTGCAACAGAGAAAGCCCTGTCACCTCTGAGCTTACGACGGGTTTCTGGGACTGAGAGAAGCATCTGGTCTGCTGACCTCAGAGAGCGCGGTGGGACATATGGCTGCAGAAGATCAGTGAGATAGGATGGGGCGGAACTGTTCAGTGATTTAAAAACATACATGAGAATTTTGAAATGGATCCGAAGGTGAATGGGTAGCCAGTGCAGGGAGGCCAAAACTGGCGTGATGTGCTCTCTATAGCCTGTACCAGTTAAAAATCGGGCTGCAGCATTTTGGACCAGTTGTAGACGAGCAATGGAGGACTGACTGATTCCAAACAGAAGTGAATTGCAGTAATCAAGCCTAGATGTTATGAAGGCGTGGATCACTGTCTCGAGGTTCTTTTTGGAGAGTATAGGCTTCAGCTTAGACAGCCGTCTCAGCTGAAAAAAACAGGATTTGACCATCATGTTTACGTGACTGTTGAGTTTTAAGGACGGGTCCATTATCACCCCCAGATTAGTGACCTTTTGTTTCTCTAGCGGGGCTAGAGAGAAAAGGTCAATGTCATAGTTCATGAGTGAGCCATGACATTGGTTCACATAATATGGAAAACTTGATAAAGAAACTGAAAGTTAAACTGGGTTTCTTTTTCAGAAACAAATCCTGTCTAACCCTGAATGCTAGAAAACGCCTTGTATCTGTGACTTTCCTTCCCTCCATTACGGTGACATTATTTACATGAACGCTCCTACAAGAACCCTGCAGATGTTGGATGCTGTCTATCATGGTGCACTAAGATTCATAACTGGCTGTGATTATCGTACCCACCACTGCACCCTGTATTCACTGGTTAACTGGACATCATTAACTTCACGCAGACTCTCTCACTGGTACATTTTCATCTTTAAATCACTTCTTGGTCTGTTGCCTTCATACATCTCCTCCTACATGTCTCTGCGTGAGTGCAGCTACGGAGTGCGCTCTCAGGACATTATTACCTGCAGTGTTCCCTCAATGAGGACTGAACTAGGCAAAAGGGCCTTCTCCTATTCCGCTCCTGTTTCCTGGAATATCTTACAAAAAGATTTGAAGCTCTCAACCTTGACCTCTCTAAGTGTCTTTAAGAATCTGTTGGACATCTGGCAGGGTCCAATGCTGACATGTTCCTGTTGTTAGTTTTCTACATTTGTCTTGGAATCTAGCTGTTTTTTGTTTTGTTACCTTTTCCTTTTAGCCATCCTATTTGTTAAAAAAAAAAAAACCTGTAGTATGCTTTTTTATAACTGTTTATTGTTGTTGCTGTTGTCTATTGTTGTCATCTTTCTTTGTTGAAATCAGGTCTCTCTTGTAAATGAGTCCTCGAGGCTCAATGGGATTTACCTGTATAAATAAAGGTTGATTCCTAATATGGCAAGCCAAGTGTCTTATTAATAGGTAAAAATGGTTATTAATGAGACACTTGGCTTGCCATATAATGCTACCTTTGTCTCGCTCCGGCAGTCCTGGAGCAAACGTCAAATCAGCTGCATTTCACCATGCCACCCAGGCGAAATGCAGCTGATTTGACCATTAAAGTGCATTTATTAAGGAAAAGTTAAACAGACACACCTTTGCTATAATGTCAAGCAAACAAATAATTGTTTTTAGGTGGTTGGTTATCTTGGTGAATTTTGAAGAAATGCACAGCGATTTCTCCCTCTGCGTGCTGCCGCAGCTGCAAATCGGCTTTTGAAATGCAAATGATTTGATCGTTAAAGTCCTTTTATTATGGAAAAGTTAAACACCTTTGCTATAATTTCGAGCAAACAAATAATTGTTTTCAAGTGGGTATCTTGTTAAATTCTTGTTAAAGTCCTCCTGTGCATGCTCCCGTGGCCACCATTTGACAGCCAATCAATTTTTGGCACAACACCGGCCCACGTTTCTGAGTTGTCAGCAGTGACCCATAATAGATACTTATACCGCGGAGCAACTTATTTATGTTTTTTTTCCACTTTATTAGACATATTTGGACTGATGCGACTTATACAGCGGTGCAATGTGTATGGTGGCAAGTACGGTTATAGTGTTACCATACCATACCATTTTATTTATAGAGCACTTAAAACAGCGACAAGGCCAACCAAAGTGCTGTACAGACAGAACAACAGACAACACACAAAGCAATATACAAAATTATGTAAATCAAAAATATAGACATAAAAATTACTGTCACACTTAACAACTTTTTAGCTTTGTGTTTTAGTCTCAACTGCAGTCTATTTAAGTCATCGCCCCAGAATGCATTACTCCGCTAAAATAATGGCGACGCTCCTAGATGAAAATTGTAATATAAATACATACATTTTTAAGTAACTGTGAGTTTTCATAGGTCACATACAACTTTTAATAGAATAGAGAAATAACAACATATTAAGGGCCACATGTGCAGATAGTTGAAGATCTCTTTAACACTGAGCATTTGGTTCCGTAAAGGCTGGTTACATTGCGCTTTATCAACTCTCTGTGTCTAAATCTTCAATTTGCTTCAGTTCAGTTTTGTTTATATAGCACCAATTCACAACAAATGTTTGTCATGACACGGTACAAAAACATTCACATAATTATTAAATGCCAATTAGTAAAAAACTATCTACCTAAGGAAGCCAGCAGATTGCATTGAATCTCCATTTTGTAACAACCTCCCGTCCTGAGCCAGCAGACCGACGACAGTGGAAAGGAAACACTCCCTTTTAAGAGAAAAAACCCTCCAGCCAAACAAGAGTGTGCATATGTGCAGTAAAAAGCCATCATTCGCAGAGTCCTGATACCCAGATTATCCATGGTAGCTGCAGCCAAAAACATTTCCAGGCCGTTTCTGAAGATTAAGTAAGCAAAGACTCCTGTTACTGGTTTTAGGACAAATGTTCAAAATGCCTTTGTCCAGCTTTGTTAATTTGATAAGAATAGAACAAATGAAAATATGTGACATTATTTCAGGTTGTGGGATGGGTTGAATAAAAGCTAAAAAAAACTTGTTTAGACTCGCATAAAAAGTGTTATGTGGTCACTTAAATGTAACATAATTGATGCCCCTTGTTTTTATCCAGGAGTTGACCAAGCGAGAAGTAGAATATGTGGCACTGTCCAGGGACACCACAGAGAATGACCTGAAGCAACGGAGAGAGATTCAATCAGGGACGGCTTTCTACATAGACCAGGTAAATGTGTTTTTCATTTGATCCAAAAAGCATAATCTGAGTGTGGCATAAAACTTCTCTACAGATCTGATTGGATTAGAGCAGATCAGATTACAGGTTTCTTTGTTGTGAGATACCTTAATCCAGGGGTGTCAAACTCACTTACAAAAAGGGGGCCAAAATTAAAAACTTTTTCAAACTAAGGGCCAATTTCAGAATCTATATGAACTAAAATCAGATACCCAACCCCAACATCTTTTCTTGGTTGCAGTTTCTTCAACAAGAGTTTGATTGGTCTCATTTGATGTTCTCTGTTGTGCTTTCGACATAATCAAAGATTACTGAAAATATTCAAGAGATAGAAGTATTTTACGTTTCACATGTCATCTTGGGAGGCCAGATAACATGTCAACGAGGGCCCGGGCCTTGAGTTAGACGCATATGCCTTAGGTCGTTTTCACACTAGATAGTCCGGTAGACTCGGTTCGGTTCGGGACCAATATTCATGAGCTTTTGTTTACATTTGAGCTGGTGCGTTTGCATTCACACTGCACTGTGCAGTCGAGTCAACCTGTTGAACCAACCTATTCCCCCGCTCGCCTGTGGGGGCGCTGCACCTAGAACTACTGAAATAAACAACACAAAAACCTCTGAAGACACGTCTTCTTCTTCTTCTGTAAATAAAAATAAAATGAAGTAGCATCAAGTTTTAGCAGTTTTAGGAGTTATATTTTGTCATCTTTCAAAAATGGACTTAGCATGAGCAGAAGATGAGACAGAAGACCATGGAGAATATTGTTTTTCCACACAAGGCAGCTGACGGCTCCATATAAGGTCAGAGAACTGCGTGTTTGTTTACCCTGCGGAGCGGGGCTCGGTCTGTTTACATTCACACTGCACTCGAACTGCGCTGGAGTTCGCTTCTACCGGACCGAGACCTAGGTTTTAGCCCGGGCCAGAGTTCGTCTTTTTGTTCCGTGACAGAGTTCGATGGCGCGTTCACACCTCCCTAAACGAACCGGACTTTCTAGGAAAACGAGCTAGAGTTCGATTAAAGTGGACTAAACAGGGCTAGTGTGAACGCACCCTTAATCTATTGTATTGTCATCAAGGAAATTGCAACAACTGTATCCATCCATCCATTTTCTTCTACTTGTTCCTGAGTCAGTTTGCAGAAGTAGCAGCTTGATCAGTGAGACCCAGCTGAGGCATTTTCAGGCCACATGAGAGGCATAGTCTTTCCCACCATGTGCTGGGTCTTCCATGGGGTCTCCTCCCAGTCTCACATGGCTGATTGGGAAGCAACTATAGGGCTTCCTTACCAGATGCCCGAACCACCTCAGCTGGCTCCTCTCAAAGGCACAGTAGGTCTTTTACAGCTTGACGGTCTCCCTTACTCAGGTCATTCACCACCACATTTGAGGATGGCTACCGCAAGAGAAGAGGCACAGAGACCTTGCGGCCACAGAAAAAAATCCAGCCACCTTAACTACAGAGGTGTGGAACAAAGTCCATTCTGACTCGACGCCCTCGGGATGCGGTTGAAGCTCTTTCAGAGATGTGAGTTGAAGAGCCTTCTGACAGGTTTTTCTGACAGGCATTTCCTGCAAGCTTCCACTGCACATTTGGGTCTACTGTATCTGCCCAACATCTTCCTCTGCCATCTGATCCGACTCACCACCAGGTGGTGATCAGTTGACAGCTCAGCTCCTTGCTTCACTCAAGGGTCTAAAACATATGGCCACAGATCATATGACACAACTACAAAGTCTATCATAAATGTGTAGCCTAGGGCGTCCTGGTGCCCCGTGCACTTATGGACACTCTTATGTTCAAACATGTTGTTTGTTATAGACAAACCACAAGTAGCACAGAAGTCTAACAACAGATCATCACTGTATCCATGTGATGAGCACAGTTCCCCATATCCGCTAAAAGCTAACAGTGGAATAAATTTTTCGTTTAGCAAATGTGCATTTTCGCTAACTTTGGAAACCTTTAACAGAATTAGCTTCTGCTGAACTAGGTCTAGCCAACTTTAAGTCCACTGACAAAATTCACAAGCTTGTTCCTTTCTGTTGTGCGTATGTTTTGAGGAGGTCATTTAGTATGCTATTACGGTAGCTTCCACATGTACACGTGACAAGATGTGTTTGGTCAACATAGCTTCAACTGGAGGGAGACGAAGACGTGTCATGCAGACTGAGTGACAGTCATTCTAACGGTTTAGCGTTTGCTTCGGCCGTTTTTTTTTTTCTTTTTTTTTTTTTTTACCTATTAATGGTTTAGCATTAGTGAGGCAAATTTTAATTAGCGGAATATGGGTTAGTGAAGCAAACGTTTATTCTTTTAACAGACTCTTATGTGAGGCTGTTTCTCTTAAACGTGAGGCTGTTTCTCTTAAACCCACGTATCAGCTCAAGTGTTTTCCTTCTAAATGGAGGACAGAACACAAAACTCATCTTGTGTTTCTCTATCTCTTGTCACCTGGGGTCACCCATACTTCTAATCATTATCTGACTATTTTTGTTCTTGCTACAGTTTTATAGTTTTGCTTCCCACATAACCTGCTACGTATTTATATGTTCACCTAATTACACGGCTGCTTACTCTGTGGTTGCCAAACTGTCTAGTTTCCTGCATCTTGATGTCAGATGTGCTTTTAAATTCTGCTGATGAAGAGATGCACACATACACATATGCTAACCAAACTCCTTAAAAAAATGGTGGCAGAAATTAGACCTTCTTAAAACAACATGGATTGTTTTTCAAAGTTTTTGGAGTAGTTGTATTACAAATACAATTGAAAGTCTAGCATTTCTTGAAGCACTGCATCCACCACCTTACATGTGACGTTAGACTAAAATCATTCTATGCTGTAAGAAGTTTTGGTCAGACTTTGTAAATGATGTTTGATCTTGTGACATTGGTTTTGCAAGATGTTTTAGTGCTCATGTGTTATGGATGTCTGTCTGCCACAACATCAATGTGAGTGCAGTGTATGTAAAACTAATGAGGTTGGTCTATTTTTGTGTTGGCTAAGGTCAGTGAGCTGTGGCAGCCGTCTTGACTTGGGTCGACTCCAAAATTTAATTATTTGCAGATGTACACAAGTGATTGCTTTTTGAGGGTCTCATTAACATCCTTCATGTCATTCTTGAGATATTTTGCTAACAGTCAGGGTTGATGCCAACTTTTTATGCTAAAGCAAAAATATTGCACAATGTGTTAAGTACAAAGTATGTGGTGGGGCTCAGTTACTGCCACACCTAAGTTTAGTTTAATATTTGTAAAACTGACTGAATTAAAACTGTTTTTGTGTTTGCTAACATTTTCTTGATTGGGAATGAATCCAAACTTTGATACGTTTAGATGTTCACCCAATGATCATTTTCTGAAAATTTTATTTTTCATTTATTTTATGTCGGGAGGTGGAAGGAATACTTCTCGGACCTTCTCAATCCCTCCTGCATGTCTTACATGTAGGAAGCTGAGTTGGGGGACTTTGGGGTTGGTCCGTCCATAACTGTGGCTGAGGTCGCCAAGGTAGTTAAAACTCTCAGAGGCGTCAAGGTTCCAGGAGTGGATATTCACCCTGATTTCCTTAAGGTTCTGGATGTTGTGGGGTTGTCTTTGTTGACACGCCTTTGCAATGTCGCGTGGACAGCAGGGGCAGTGTCACTGGATTAGCAGACTGGGGTGGGGGGACCGTAGGGTGTGCTCCAATTACAGGAGCATCACTCTCCTTAGCCTCCCTGATGAGGTCTTTTCAGGGGTACTAGAGAAGCGAGTCCCATCTTTGGTTGAACCTCAGATCCAGGAGGAACAATGTGGGTACTGTCCTATCCGTGGAACAGTGGATCAGCTCTTTATCCTCACTTGGGTCCTCGAAGGGTTATGGGAGTTTGCCCATACATGCGTTATGTGGATTTGGAGAAGGCATTCAACCGTGCTCCTCGGGGTACACTGTGGGGGGTGCTCCGTGAGTATGGGATTGGGGGCCCATTGTTACGGGCTGTTCGGTCCCTATACAAGCAGTGTGAGAGTTTGGTTCGCATTGCCGGTAGTAAGTCGGACCCCTTCAGGGTGGGAGTTGGACTCTGCAAGGGCTGCCCATTGTCACCGATTCTATTCATAACTTTTATGGACAGAATTTCTCGGTGCAGCCAGGGGGCGGAGGGATTCTGGTTTGGTGGCCTCAGGATTCCATCTCTGCTCTTTGCAGATGATGTGGTCCTGTTGGTGTCATTGTGCCATGATCTTCAGCTCTCACTGGAGATGTTCGCAGCTGAGTGTGAAGCGGCTGGGATGAGAATCAGCACCTCCAAATATGAGGTCATGGTCCTCAACCGGAAAAGGGTGGATTGCTCTCTTCAGGTCGAGGGTGAGTTTCTGCCTCAAGTGGAGGAGTTCAAGTATCTTGGGGTTTTGAGGGAAGAACGGAGCATGAGATTGACAGATGGATTGGTGCAGTATTTTGGACTCTGTACTGGTCCGTTGTGGTGAAGAGGGAGCTGAGCTGTAAGGCAAAGCTCTCTGTTTGCATTCCTATCCTCACCTGTGGTCATGACATGAGCTCTGGGTAGTGACTGAAAGAATGAGATTGTGGATACATGCGGTTGAAATAAGTTTCCTCCACAGGGTAGCTGGACTCTCCCTTAGAGATAGGGTGAGAAGTTCAGTTATCCAGGAGAGACTCCGAATAGAACTGCTGCTCCTCCACATCGAGAGGATTCAGTTGAGGTGGTTCGGGCATCTGGTAAGGATGCTTCCTGGGCGCCTCCCCAGGGAGGTTTCTTTGGGCTTGTCCGAAAGGGAGGAGACCCCGGGGAAGACCCAGGACATGCTGGAGAGACTATGTCTCTTGGTTGGCCTGAGAACACTGTGGAATCCTCCCCGAAGAGCTGGAGGAGGGGGCTGTGGAAAGAGATGTCTGGGCCTCCCTACTCAAGCTGCTGCCCCCACAACCCGACTTCGGAATAAGCGGAAGATAATGGATGGATGGATTGTTTCTATGAGATATTTTCTTGATACTACAGACAAACACACACATAATTGTCCTTTAGCCCAAGCTATTTATCATAATAAGCTTTGCACTTCTTATGGAACAAAGGCAGTGAAACCTCATTGATAGGTTCATTTTTGTATAAGAGCTCTTACATTTAAGTCAAAGGGTCTTTTTTTTACAATAAGGCATCAAATTTGACCTGAGGTTGAATCATTGTTTGCATCTGATGGAGGCGATTCACTTGTTTTCCTGATATATCTTCCTCTATAACCGTTTACTGAGATTTAACAAGCATCACTGGCTATATTTAATTGCCTGTCATGTTGTCTCTAGTGTGCGGTAAGAGCAGCAACACAAGGCCGAGTCCTGGTCCTGGAGGGGCTGGAGAAGGCAGAGCGAAACGTTCTACCTGTTCTCAACAATCTACTGGAGAACAGAGAGATGCAGCTGGAGGACGGACGCTTCCTGATGTCAGCGGAGCGTTACGACAAGTTGCTGCAGGTAACTCTAACCCCTAACTCAACAAGCCAAATGTATTCACCCATCTAACCCTCCCATTTCAGATAATCATTCTGACAATTATTTTAAGTTAACAAAATTAACAATGGCACATTTCAGCCATCATCATATGGGTGTTGTCTAAACTTCTTTTTTTTTTTTTAAATAATTTTGGCTGTATTTTATGAGGAATTTTCAAGGTAAATCTTCACACTTAGACCCTGGAATTTCTTACTAGTCCTTCAGTTTTCTTGTCTTTTAATTAAGAAGGACCGTCTCCAGAAAAACTCATTTAGTCTGCACATTACATACAATTTTATACCTTTTAAATAAAATGAGTTTTCATTCTTTGCAGGAGCATACCAAAGGAGAGCTGGACAGCTGGAAGATTGTTCGTGTTAGTGAGGACTTCAGAGTCATTGCTCTAGGTCTTCCTGTTCCCAAATACAAGGGCAACCCACTGGATCCTCCTCTTCGCTCTCGTTTTCAAGCCAGAGATATCTATTACCTTCCCTTCAAGGTCAGATGTCCAAGAACCTGTACATTGTTCAACACCAACAGTTTCCCACCACCAGCATGTCTCTGTAAGGAGATAAAATAAGGGTTGTCATGAAAGCAGCAGAAACTAAAGTAGTGTGGACAAATGTTATGGGCCTACCTTTTTATTGTGTGTGTGTGTGTACGCTCGTGCGTGTAGGTGTGTGTGTGTGTACGTTCATACTTAGTTTTTGTTGTGCTTTTAGAACCTTCTCTGGTATAATCACCTACTATGTCAGGACTGCTAGGCCTTATTTAGAACAAAACCCGATCCTAACACAATGAAATATCAACATATTTTTTTGGTTAGGTTTAGGATAAGGTTTGCATTAAGGTAGGACTGGGGTCTGGGTTAGGCTATAGAAATGCATGGAAGTCAAAATATCTAATAATTTTCTACTAAATGTACAAACATTGCAACCGGAAGCAATACCAGATTGTATTATTTAATAATTTGGACTCAATTGTAATTTGATTCTGCATAATGCTACACTCTGTAGAACAATATCTGCCATATAAACTAATATCTAGTAACCAATTCAATAAATAATGATGATTAATTTGTTTTTATAGGCTAATTTTTATTTGTAACAGTTAAAATTATTAGCTTCAATTATGGTCGGATCACATTCACATTGAGGTAAATAACATCAAATCTGATTACTTAGATCATAGATCATCTTAGATCTTAGATCATCTTAGATCATATAAGACAACTAGAGGGAGCAATGGTCACGTGACTTTGTGATTTATTACAGCACTGTTGGCCATAATTAGAATGGGCAAATGTCTGGACTTCACATTGTTGTAGATATAGGCAAAATAGGAAACAATAAGGCTGACTATGTAAAAATTGTAAAAAAAATAAAAAATAAAATAAAAATATATATGCACTACATATATATATATATATATATATATAGACAGACAGACAGACAGATAGACAGATAGATCAGAGTCAGAGTCAGAGTTTCTTTATTGTCATTCGCACCTCATGGGGTACATGTGGTGGAGCGAAATTATGTACACAAGGTCCCAGTTACATCCAACAATAAAATGTATAAGAAAAACAGTAATAACATCTAAGATATGAACTAAGAAAAACATCAACTAAATATACACTAAGCACTCATAACATAAAAACATTGAACATCAGCACAAACATGAACATGAGTCTGTGAGCAGATGTGCACGCATGAACACATCAACATTTAAACAGATCAGCAGCAACATTGAAACAGATCAGCAGCAACATGAAGTAATTTTTCACAGTGATTAATCTGGTTATAGATTCATGAGTCTAACAGCTTCAGGGTAGAAGCTGTTCCTCAATCTGGTGGTTCTGCACTTAACCTCCTTCCTGAGGGGAGCGGGGCAAAAAGTGTGTGTGCTGGGTGAGTGGGGTCTTTCATGATGCAGGTAGCCCTCTTCCTGCATCTAGAGGTGTAAATGTCTGTGATGGTGGGGAGACTGACTCCAACAGTCTTCTGTGCAGCCTTCACCACTCTCTGCAAAGCTTTTCTTTCTGCAGCTGTGCAGCCTCCATGCCACACGTTGATGCTGGAGCACAGGATGCTCTCCACTGCACACCTGTAGAAGGAGGTGAGGACTGAGCTTCCCAGACCAGCTCGTCTCAGCCGCCTGAGGAAGTAGAGTCTCTGATGAGCTTTCTTGATCAGGCTGGTGGTGTTGTTGCTCCAGCTGAGGTTGTCATTCATGTGCACACCCAAGTACTTGTAGCTGGAGACCACTTTCACCGCAGATCCTCTTATGTTCAGGGGGGTGTAGATGTTTTTGTTCCTTCTGAAGTCCACAATCATCTCCTTTGTCTTCTTCACCTTGATGTGAAGGTTATTCTCTTTGCACCAGCAAACCAGATAGATAGATAGATAGATAGATAGATAGATAGATAGATAGATAGATAGATAGATAGATAGATAGATAGATAGATAGATAGATGATAGATAGATAGATAGATAGATAGATAGATAGATAGATAGAAAGAAAGAAAGAAAGAAAGAAAGAAAGAAAGAAAGAAAGAAAGAAAGAAAGAAAGAAAGAAAGAAAGAAAGAAAGAAAGAAAGAAAGAAAGAAAGAAAGAAAATTAGTATAAAGCTGTGTGTGTTATGGTTGTAAAAACTGAAGAGAAAAAAGAAAATGTCTCATTTCACAAGTTAGGGTAGCGGACATGACATTGCTCCGACCCAGTAACCAGCATATAGCAGCAATTCGCCTTCTTGTTCTAATGTCTGACTTGTGATTCAAACGTATTTTCCCTCTGGCATCCTCATTATCAAAAATGTTGTCAAAAAAGAACAAAGTGGACAAGGTGTCGAGTCTTTCAAGAAATTAGACAAGTTCCTATTTATTTACGAAAGCGAATGGGAAACCTGTGCTTTGTAGGTATGCAGCAAGTTTCAGTCTTCAAGGAATATTATATCCAGCCAAGTATGAGACTCAGCATGGTGAAAAATACAACAAATCGCTAGGACAATTGAGACAAGAGAAGATAAACATGTTGATGGTGAGTCTTAAAAACGGTAATCTGTTTTAACCCAGAGCCAAGAGGTCAGCGAGGAAAACTGGACAGTTCATGAAGAGAACAGTGAAACCAGTAATGGAATTTGTCTCCACAATGGCTGCAGGACCTTGCGTCTGTGGTGGATATCACAGAGCACTTATATAATCTGAACAAACTATTGTGATGCCACATAAAAGTTTGTCACACAGCACACTGTATTATGGCAGCATACACACATTCAAGTTGAAGCTGATTTTGTGGGAAACAGTTGAACAAGCTCTTTTTTCCCCATCTTAGAGATATGTGTGCGACCAGAGTTAACATTGACATGAAATGGTACAGAGGCAAGATTATGGATTGCTGAGGGAGTTTGAAAGATGGTTTCAGGTCTTTGGTGAACTTGACAAAGTATTTTGTGGATTTTGCTCACCATTCACCGTCCTAGCTTCTGATATGCCGATTGAAATCCAACTTGAAAGAACTGATTTAAAGTGTGATATGGATTTGAAGGACAGAGTTGCCTCAGTGGGTTTGAACACTTTTTATCAGTATCCCTTGCCATGGTACACTAAATTAACAGCAGTTGTTGCAAAAGTTTTGTGCATGTTTGGGACTACCTGCCTTTGTGAACATGAGTTCTCTGTAATGATTATCAATAAAACAAAGCTGTGCCCATGACTCACACACAAACACCTAAATGGCATTATGACATTAGCTGCTACTCAGGATCCGATGCCTGATATTGATGCACTTGTGCAGGCTAAAATATGTCAAGCTTCAGGAGCTAATAAACAGTGAGTTAGTAAAGAACTTATAAAACCCTGCTTAAGAGAGCTTTTGCACATTGGATATATGTATTTCTCTGAAAAATTACATTTTCTGTAGTTATATGTAAAATACTGAATCTTGTGCAATGAAATGTTTGTCAGCTTCTTACTACAAAAGAGTTTGGTGTGGTAGAATTCTATCTCTCGTGCACTGCAACAAATTTTATGCATTTTTTGTACAAATATTTTATATATATGGCAGGAATGGTTCAACGTACAAACCGGATTCCAAAAAAGTTGGGACATTAAACAAATTGTGAATAAAAACTGAATGCAATGATGTGGAGGTGCCAAAATCTAAAATTTTATTCAGAATAGAACACAAATCACAGATCAAAAGTTTAAACTGAGAGAATGTATCATATTAAGGGAAAAATCTGTTGTTTCCAAATTTCATGGTGTCAACAAATCCCAAAAAAGTTGGGACAAGTCCATTTTTACCACTGTGTGGCATCCCCCCTTCTTCTTACAACACTCAACAGACGTCTGGGGACAGAGGAGACCAGTTTCTCAAGTTTAGAAATAGGAATGCTCTCCCATTCATGTCTAATACAGACCTCTAACTTAACATAGTTCTCTGCATGAATGGTGCCTTTTCAGACATGCAAGCTGCCCATGCCACAAGCGCTCATGCAACCCCATACCATCAGTGATGCAGGCTTCTGAACGGAGCGTTGATAACAACTTGGGCTATCCTTGTCCTCTCTGGTCCGGATGACATGGCGTCCCAGTGTTCCATAAAGAACTTCAAATCGTGACTCATCTGACCACAGAACAGTCTTCCATTTTGCCACACTCCATTTTAAATGACCCCTGGCCCAGTGCAAACGTCTGAGCTTGTGGAGCTTGCTTAGAAATGGCTTCCTCTTTGCACTGTAGAGTTTCAGCTGGCAACGGCGGATGGCACGGTGGATTGTGTTCACTGACAATGCTTTCTGGAAGTACTCCTGAGCCCATTCTGTTATTTCCTTGACAGTGGCATTCCTGTTTGAGGTGCAGTGACGTTTAAGGGCCCGGAGATCACGAGCATCCAGTAGAGTTTTACGGCCTTGACCCTTACGCACAGCGATTGTTCCAGATTCTCTGAATCTTTTGATGATGTTATGCACGGTTGATGATGATAACTTAAGTCTTTGCTATTTTACGCTGGGTAACACCATTCTGGTATTGCTGCACTATCTCTCTGTGCAACAATGGTGGAATTGGTGATCTTCTTACCATGTGGGCTTCTGAGAGACACTGACACTCTGAGAAGCTTTTTTTATACCCAATCATGTTGTCAATTGACCTAATTAGTGTTAATTGGTCTTCCAGCTGTTTGTTATATGCTCAATTTCCTTTTCCCAGCAACTTATTGCTACTTGTCCCAACTTTTTTGGGATTTGTTGACACTGTGAAATTTTGAATCAACATATTTTTCCTTTAAAATGTTACATTTACTCAGATTAAACTTTTGATCTGTCATCTATGTTATATTACAAATAAAATATTGACATTTGTCATCTCCACATCATTGCATTCAGTTTTTATTCACAATTTGTTTAGTGTCCCAACTTTTTTGGAATCCGGTTTGTAATATTCATCTTCAAATTCCTGTAATGAAATGTTTTGTCCTTTTGCTGATCCACTGTTAGTACCTTAGGTGTGGACTCCTCCCCTTTGATAATGTTTGGGGAAATGCTGTCTTTTAAAGGGTATAGCTCTTCCATAATTTTTGTTTTTATATTTTAAGGACCAGCTTGAGATGCTGTATGCAGCTGGACCGAATGTTTCTGCAGAAAGGTAGTGTAAGAAGCTAATATGTAAAACGGCTTCCTGATCATTTTCAGAATATTTACATTGTGTCTTGTTGTGTCAGAGTGTCCCAGCTGCTGTCACTTGCCATGACGCTGTGCTCACAAGAATCATCTAGTTTGGGCCTCCCCGACTTTCCTGTGGACAACCTGATTTCTGCACTTCATGTTCTGGTCAGACTTAAGGAAAAATAATTATTGTCTGAAGTTTGAAAAGGAAAACAAATATAATGATTTTATTTTTCTTTGTGCTGCAGAATATTTTCCCAATGCTGTCCTCCCAGCAGCTAATTCAGAGACTTTATCCATACAAGAGTATTTTAGGAAAAGATGGGCACACTGCTGTGGAAGGCGTGTTAAGTGTAAGTGCACTTATATAAGCAGTCCAAGTGTGATCTTTGCATGGTTGCATGTAATGTGTGTACAGTATGATATGTGATGCAGATGCATTGCTTATACAGTAGCACAGTCACTTCTTGTGGTGTTTTCAGAGGTTTGAGCTTTTGGACAGCTGTCATCGCTCAGCTCCCGGTACTGTTCTGAGTGTGTCTATGGCAAAAGAATTAAAAGGCCATGCAGATGTCACAGTCCGGGTCGCAGACGAGGACATCACCTTCCAGGTAAGACACTGTGAAACTGTTTTTGTTGCTCTGTCATGACCTGGAATTAACAAAGTTTGTATCTTTGATTAACACAAAATACCTACCAGTTTAAAGGTGCAAAATATATTTAATGTTACAAAAAAAGCATGCTTTATGCAATTTCATGTCAAGTAATTACTCCCTGGATCCTTTTGAGAGCAGTTACAGCTGCAAGTCTTTAAGTTAACAACCTTCATCATTGTCTTCCACTTTTCTGGGTCCTGGTCATTATAGTAGCAGCCTTAGCATGGAAAACCAGACCATCCTCTCTCCTGCAGCTTTTCCAAGGGGATCTCAAAGTTTTCCTGGGCCAATTGAAAAATACAATTCTTTTAAAGCATTCTGGGTCTGCCTCATGATGCCCGAAGGACATACCTAAAAATACCTCCACTGAGAGTCATCCTAATCAAATGTTTAAACCATCTCAATTGGCTCCTCTCAATGTGTAGGAGCTGTGGTTCTACTCTACTCTAATATTTTTTTCTTAGGCAATTGTCCATGTATTCATATATACAGCGCTTTGAGAGAATTCATACCAATTTAACTTTTCTTTACATTTCACCCCATTACAAACATAAACTATATCACTGTGTATCACACAGTGATACACAGTGATATATCAGTGATGCCTCTCAGAAGCAGAAAATGGGGAAAAAAGCATTGTTTTAAGGAAATCTGGAAAACTCCCTCACAATTATCTGAGGGTCTACAGCCACTAGTTTTAGTGAGTCTTTAGTCACCAGTTTCAGTGGGTTCCCAACCACCAGTTTCAGTGGGTCTCCAACCACCAGTGTCAGTGGATCTCCAGCCACCAGTGTCAGTGGGTCTTCAGTCACCACTTTCCATGGGTCTTTTACCATTGTCTACAGGGAGTTTCAAGTCCTCAGGGGGCTGCAAATTCTCAGAGTCTCCAGTGTTGCAACTATCATGTGTGTGTCAGTTTCTGTTCTTGATCATCCTGAATGTCCTGAAGCACCAGATCAAGGTTCTAATTCCCCAGAGTCTCCCAGTTCCTGATTCTCCAGAGTCACTTGTCCCTGGGCCTCTATAGTCACAGATTCCAGAGTATTCAAAGTCATCAGTTCCCAAGTTTCCAGGGTCGTCAGTCCCCAAGTCGCCAGTGTTACCAGTTCCAGAGTCTCCAATATCACTGGTTCCCAAGTTTACAGAGTCACCAGTTCCTGAGTCATCATAGTCTCCAGAGACCTCTTCTTCAGAGTTTCCAGGGTCTTGATGTGGTTGATGTTGATGCCTCTCTCATGTCTGTCTTTGATAGTGTCTGGATGGTTCCCAGGCTGACTGCCCAAGTTTTGTCAATGGTCTGGACAGTTCTTGAGCCAACAACCCAAGTTACGTTGCTCGCCTAGACATTTTTCAGGTCAACCACCCGAACGCTGTCACCGGTTGAGACAGTTTCAGGGTTGTCCATCCGAGTTCTGTGACCAGTCTGGATGTTTTTTGGACCATGCACCTGACCTCTATTTCCTTGTGAATCTCTGCTTTTTTTGTCCTGTCTGTCCCAACTACACCTATCCTCAGTTGTCAGTTTGCCATGTCTTCATTCCACTCATTAGCCCCATTCTTTTTAGTTTTTCAGTGTCACCTCCCTCACCAGTTGAGTATTGTTGGTTTTCATGTCACATCTGCTTCTCCTTTTACCTCCCCATGTCTCATTTAGTTGATGTAAGTATTTTTGCCTTGTAGGCTTTTTTTTCATTTTAATAGAAGTTGTGTTTCTTTTCTAGAGCTTTTTGTGTCAGTCTGCATCCTTGGGTCCAACCTCCTACAACATCCATCCATCCATCCATTATCTTTACTCGCTTATTCCATTTTGGGTCACGGGGGTCGCTGGTGCCCATGTCCAGCAATCACTGTGTGAGGGGCGGGGTACACCCTGGACGGGTCGCAAGTCCATCACAGGGCCACATAGAGACAAACGAGACAAACAACCATTCACTCTCTCACTCACACCTAGGGACAATTTAGAGTTATTAATCAGCCTAACATGCATGTTTTGGGGCTGTGGGAGGAAACAGGAGCACCCGGAGAAAACCCACGCATGCACGGAGAGAACATGCAAACTCCACCCAGAAAGGCCCCTGGACCGGGGTTTGAACCAAGGACCTGCTCGCTGAGAGGCAGCAGCTCTACCAGTTGCGCCACCGTGCTGCCACCTCCTACAACAGTGACAATAAAAAAATAATTCCAGCTAGTTGTTTGGGCTTTGCCTTTAGCAGCTTTGGTCATTTAGAGACAGATGTTTTTGCCTTACCAAATTGAAAGGAGAGTGTCCGTTAACAGTACTTTTCAAGTTTTGCCACAGATTCTCATTTTGATTTAGGTCCGGACTTTGAGTCATTCAAGCGCACACATCTGCTTTGATCTAAACCATTCTGTTGTAGCTCTGGCTGGTTGTTTCAGGTTGTTCCCCTGCTGAAAGGAAAATCTTTGCCCCAGTCTCAAATATTTTGCAGGCTCTAACAGTTTTTCTTCCAGGGTTTCCCTGTGTTTAGCTCCATCCATTTTACCATCAATTCTGACCAACTTCCTTGTTTGTTTCTGCTAAAGAAAAGCATCCAAACACCATAATGCTACCAGCACATGTTTCACAGTGGGGATGATGTATCAGGATTATGTGGTGTGTTAGCTTTCTGCTTCTGTGTTTTGTATTTTGACCAGATAGTTCAGGTTTGGCAAGTTTTGAGCAGAGCAGCTTCTTTCATGTGTTTGTTGTGTTCCTACACAGTTTTTGGTAAACTGCAAACAGGACTTCTTATGGCTTTCTTTCCATTTATCTAGTAAGGTCAGATGTATGGAGTGCACAACTAATTGTTGTCCTGTAGATAAATTGTCCCACCTGGGATGTGGACTCTGCAGTTCCTCCAGAGTTACCATGAATATTTTGACTATTCTCCGGAATCTTTTTCTCCTTGCGCTGCTTGTCAGTTTAGGTAGACAGTTATGTCTTGGTAGGTTTGCAGTTGTGCAATAATTGTGCAATTATGCCATTTTCTTTCCATTTTTTCATATCATGGATTAAACAGTGCTCTGTGCGATGTTCAAAGCTTAGGAGTTTTTAACATAACATAACACTGCCTGAAATTTCTGAACAACTTTAGCCCTGACCTTTCTGGTGCAGTCCTTTGATTTCATAGTGCAGTTTGTACGCTGTACTCTGAACAAACTGTAAAAAAAAATAATAATAATTTTGGCCTTCACAGAACAGCAGAATTTATACTGACATCAATTTACACACAGGTAATGGAAGTGAAAGGAGTCTTACAGTATGTTAAACTTCAAAAAGCAACATTAAACTGAATATGTGGCCTTAAGTTATGTTCTTTTAACACATATAGTTCAGCCTTGACTTGTCTTTCCAGGCAGTTTAACAACCAACAAATTTAACTTTTTTTTTTCTTTCTGCATTCGACTGCTCCCTTCCGCTGGGGGTCGCTACAGCGAACTAACTCACACAAAGACTTTGAAACTGTTTTTACCCCGGATGTCCTTCCTGACGCAACCACAGACCATCGAGCTACCACAGCCCTCTGTGTGGAGCAGAGAGCTGGTATCTAGAGCACCCGGGAGAGCAGATGGTGGAGGTTAAGGGCCTTGCTCAAGGGTCCAGAGTGGGGCAAATGAGGGTGGAGGCAGGTGTAGGTGTTTCATTTTTCCCACCACCAGTCCATTAACAACTTTAACATGTGACCAAAACAACTCGCAAGTTGGCCTTGTCAGGAAACTTCTACATGTGACAACAACCCAAACAACTCACAGAATGGAGGTGTGGGTCAGCTGCTCATGTGAAAGTTATAGCCTTAATATTGTGATCGTCATACAAATGACTTATAGGCCTTAATTCCCAAATCATCAGAACTAAAGAAACCTTTTGATAAGAGACTAAACATCTTAAAGAAGTGTTGTCAAGTTGCCTTCTGTTGAACCACTCAAAACGGGTTTTAATGAAGTCTGCCGAAAGTGATCTTTGAATGTACATCTACAACTGATTACTTTTTAACTTAAACCTAATTCAAGATGACAGCCACAGCTAATTAGTAATAGCAAACACAACAGATTTTACAGTTTTTATGCAGTAATAATACAGTATTTTTCCCAACACATACTCTGAGTGTGACATCTTGTCATGTTGCGTATTTGTTCATATTGTTATTTTTTAAGTTTTACAAAAACTGTAGAAATTATGTATTTTCTCGACATAAGGTGATATTAGTTTAAAACTTTGGCACGAAAAGCTGTGGGACATTAGCACTTCTTTAAGAAATGCTAATTCTTTCATCATAATAATGGATTTGTTGGCTGCTGCTTCATGTATTTTTTTTGTCTTTATTGTATTTCAGGTTCCTGCTGGCAGCAAAGAGCTGTGCTCCCTCAATAGCAGCCCCACCTTCATTAACACACCAAGCCACTCACAGTTGCTGGCTGAGATGATGCAGTCGCACACGGTGAAGGACATGTGCCTCATAGGACCCAAGGTTTCTGCCATACTGAGCAACATGCACACAAGCAGTGTAGAGGAAGTGTTGTCTGAAATTAATGGAAGGTCTTTTGTGATTTCCAGGGTTGTGGCAAATCCGTGATTGCGAGAAGGTTTGCGGAGATGCTGGGTTATAGCATTGAATCCATCATGCTCTACCAGGTAAAACAAACATTTTTCAGAATTATTTATTAGCAGCGTTTAAACAGTTTAAAACAAATTTGTATGTAACAAAATGAAAGGACATAATAAAACATTTGTGGTCATTACCATTGCTTAAAATGATCAATTGAATCTTAGAACAACATGACCTAACATTTTACACCTTGTCATTATTTATTTAACAAGAACTGTGCCAAAATGAGTGAATGAGAAAAATCTGTTCCATATGTATCACCAAATCACAAATAAAGCAAATTTCTTGTTGTGCAAACTTGGCAATAAACTCGATTTTGATTCTGATTTTTGTCCCCATCCTGGAGCGAAAAGGGAGAATTAGAAATACTTTCTGTGCATCAGTCCGTCTGTCCAACCTCGTTTGTCCATCTGTTCATGTTCATAGCATGATAACTTGAAAAATAAGTGATATCAGATTTCATTTTGGTGTGTGGCTGCATCTAAGTTTATAAAAGTTTCTTATCGAAAATTGGAGGGCCACATAAAAATCCAAGATGGCTACCACTATATATGTAATCCTTAAGAGTTGGATAATTTCAGAAATATGCAACATACTGACTTGCATTTTGGTGTCTGGCTGCATCTAGGTATAAGAAAGGTCATTACCAAAAATTGGGTTGCCGCATCAACATCCAAGATGGCCACCACCATATACAGACCTTTTCCAAAAAATTAGAATATCATGGAAAAGTGGTTTAACTTCCATAATTCCGTTCAAAAAGTTTATCTTTAATAGATGATAGATTCAGGGCCCACAATTTAAACAATTTCAAGTCTTTATTTGTTTATTTTTACATAATTTGGGCTTCCAGCTCATGAAACCCACGAAAACAGGATTTCAAAAAATTAGAATACTGTGAAGAAATCAGTCCACACTACTCAGTTTTTGCAGAAAAAAATAAAAAAATTAGGATCACAACAAATCAATCAAAATACTTTCAAAATGATATGTCAATCTTCAGTACTTGGTTGGGAATCCCTTTGTCTTAATCACTGCCTCGATGCGACGTGGCATTGAGGCAATCAACCTGTGGCATTGAATGGGAGTTATGGAAGCCCAGATTTCCTTGATGCTGTCAGCTCTTCTTTGTTGTTGGGTCTGGTCCCCCTCATTTTTCTCTTGTGAATACCTCATAGATTCTCAATGGGATTTAGGTCCGGCGAGTTGGCTGGCCAGTCAAGCACTGTGGCATGGGCATCAAACCAGGTTTTGGGGCTTCTGGCAGCATGGGCAGGGGCCAGGTCCTGCTGGAAGATGGAATCTGCATCTCCATACAGATCCTCAGCAGAAGGAATCATGAAGTCCTCTAAAACATTCTGGTAGACTGTTGTGGTGACCTTGGGTTTAAGACAGCAGAGTTTACCAACACCTGCATCGGACATTGCGCCCCAAATCATGACTGACTGTGGATATTTCACACTGGACCTCAAGCAGTATGGGCTCTGTTCCTCACCCTTCTTCCTCCAAATCCTTGGACCTTGATTTCCGAATGAAAGGTACACTTTACTTTCATCGGATAAAAGGATCAAGGAACCTGACAGTTGTAGCCCATCTCCCGGATGCGTCTGAATCTTCTCTGTTGGATAATCCGCTGAAGCCCACTGTCATCTCTTTTGCTGGTGCATCTTCTCCTGCCATATTTTGCCCTTCCACTAGACTTTCCATTGATATGCTTGGACACAGCACTCTGTGAACAGCCAGCCTCCTTAGCTATGAACTTTTGTGGCTTACCCATCCTATGGAGAGTATCAATGATGGTCTTCTGGCCAGTTGTTATGTCTGCAGTCTTCCCCATATTGAACCGAACTGAGATAATTGAACCAAATTGAAGCAATTTAATGACACCTGGGGAAACCTGTGCAGGTGCTTTGAATTTAGTAGATGATTAGTGTGTCACACTCAGTTTAAAACATTCGTGTCCTGCAAAATTTGTGCTGATTTCGTCACAGTATTCTAATTTTTTGAAATCCTGTTTTCGTGGGTTTCATGAGCTGGAAGCCCAAATTATGTAAAAGTAAACCAATAAATACTTAAAATTGCTTAAATTGTGGACCCTGAATCTATCATCTATCATCTTACAATTAGCCAAACTTTGTTTCACAGATGGACACACATTCAACTTTAGAATACTTTGGTAATTAGGTCAGTGGGTGTGGGATGTCTGGGTCCTGTAACGATAAAACAAACCCAAAGTATCAGCGTTCCACCAACAAGCTGAAAGTTGAGGTGTCTGTGCTGATAATGCTCTGTTAGGTTTTCTTCAAAACTGGTCCTTTATGGTCAAACAATTCTACTCAAGTTTCTTCTTCCCATAGATCTTTGTTTCAGAAGTTTTCTGTTTGTTTATTTGTGTTTTTTGACATGCAGTTTTGCTAAGATGACCTGTTCTTTTTAAAATGAATTAAAGTTTCTTATTGGCAACCATTTTAAACAAATCGTACTTGTTCAGTATTTTTCGAATCGTCCTGTCAAGATATTTTATACATTTATTGTATTCATTATACAATTAACTAACTAAAATAAAACTAACATTAGATCCAAAATGCTCTCTTATCTGTTTGTCATTCTGTCCACATTTTTACCCATTTTTGTCCCTGTCCTGCGTTATTTGAAGATGTGTTGCAGCCATAAAATACAAAATTACTCTTTTTTTTTTTAATAAAAACACCTGCTTCTTTTAAACTATGTTCCATTGTGAATGCAATATGGGATTATGAGATGTGTTAATCATTGCATTCTGAGTTATTTACATTTTACACAAAGTCCCAGCTTTTATGGAATTCTGGTTGTGTTTGTTCTTTTTACATTTTAACCCTTGTAACAGCTTTTTCATGAATACCAGCACAGTTGATTCACAGTACGATGCTTCTTATGAACAAGTCTATATCACAGAATAATTCGGTTATTACACCTTACTGTAGCTGCTTTGAATGCTTTCACTGTGCGTTGCTCACAGAGCATTAGCTGAATAATGAGGCAGTCATCCTTCTGTATCATGGCTGTGGGCCCTGGTGTAGGGTCAGAACTCTATTTTTAAAAAGGCTCAAACATCGGAGTCATGTGTGGTTGAGAAATGCTGGCAACGCTTGGAACAAATTGTCCGACTCTGCTTGTCTTTCCTTGTCTGCCCACAAACTCTGCTGTGATACGTGAGCATGATATTAAATATGACAGCCTTCCTCAACAGAGACCGACCCCCCAACAGTAAAATGTCATTAGCTGTTAACTGGAAAGCAAAGATCTCAAAGTTTGCAGCTGTGTCAGATTATTTAAGGACATAGTTAAAAATATTTATGCCTGCAAGAAAAGTGCTGCTTTATGAAGCTATTTTCAGTATTTTCTTTAACTATTTTATATTTTTCTGCTTTTTATAGTTTGAAAAAAAAAAACTTTCCTAAATTATTTGAAAATAAACTCTTTTCACAACTATAAACTTGACTGTTAAACAGATCTTACATGAAAACTGAAAACATTTTTGTTGTCTTTCATTCAATGCGTCTCACTGCTACATGAACCATACCATACCATACCACTTTATTTATAAAGCACTTTAAACAGCTACAAAGCCAACCAAAGTGCTGTACAGACAAAACAACAGGTAACACACAAAGCAAAATACAAAATGAGGTAAATCAGAATATAGACATAAAAACCAGAGTGCAATGCCACAGAAATGTTTCAGTAAATTATTACTTCCAAGTAAAAGAAGTATGTGGTGTGTGGGAGCTTTGTTCTGTTCTTTGGTAATGTCCATCTTTTTCTTCCACACCTGCAGGAAATAGATGTGCAAACTGTTTCTTTCATACTTTCATGCCAACCCTCTCTGTGTCCTTATGTTACTTCTAGGACATGACAGCCAGGGACCTTCTTCAGCAGAGGTACACTCTGCCCAACGGAGACACAGCATGGAGACCGTCTCCACTGGTCACTGCTGCCATCGAGGGCAAACTGCTCATCCTTGACGGCATACACAGGGTTAACCTTGGAACACTTTCTGTGCTTTCCAGGTTTATTTGCCTTTTTTGTTTTAGGACTGCACAAATCTTAGCACAATTTATCTGCAGAGTTGAAGAGCTTCAGCTCTTTTTACCTTGTTTTGACTTCCAGGTTGCTCCATGAAAGGGAGCTAGATCTTTATGATGGAACCAGACTGCTGAGGTGCGACAGGTACCAAACTTTGAAGGAGCAGCTGCAGCTTACTGACCAGCAGTTGAAAGAAAGGTACACACACACACGTTATGTTTTGCTATCTTTACAGGGACTTTGCATTGACTTCCATTCATCTCTATAGCCTAACCCTGACCCTTACCCTAAACCTAACCCATCCTCAATTCACACCTTAGTCCTAAATCTAACCCAAATGGGGCCCAGGCTTTGGGCCCCATTTGGAGCAGTGGGTCCTCACAACATCGCATGTGTTGGAAAAAGGGGCCTTACAAAGTAACAAATGCAAAGACACACCCCACCCCCCACCCACACACACACACACACACACAGGTTAGTGCACATCACAGTATGGAAAATTGTTCGGTGATCTTCAATTCAATTATATACACACACATATATGCAAGTGTCCATATGTGTGTGTATGTG